AAAATCCAAAATGTTCGGACAATAACTTTAAACAAAAAGAATACACAAGTATCCCAATTCAGAATGAAAAGATGATAATTCACCAAAACAAAGCTGTAGTTACTTGCAAGTTGCAACTCTAACTAGTAAGCATCTCTCACCTCTAATTAGACCAAAACCCCAAGGGTACTTCCTTCAAATTTGTCATGCAAAACATCATATTCATATCCTACATAGAATTCAAACAATAAGCATCTCTCTTGCTATAATTACACTAAAACTCAAGGGCAACTCCTGCAAATTTGTCATTAACAGCAAAACATTTCTCCTGCAGACTATAATAATTGGTCCACAATTAGCACTAGTCAAGAGTCAACTTTGTTGGTCAGAGCTTTTCCAGAGCCTCCTCCACTTCACCATTTTCCTCATCACTCTCTTTCTTGCCACCTGACTCTGTTTTCACCTTCTCATCCTCCTCATTTTTCTTGATCTTCTTGTGCATGAAATCAAAGGGCAACATCGGCATCATCACCCTTGAGGAGCTCCTCGGCCACCTCAGCTGGTGTTTCCTTTGCATTTCGAAGCAAATCCTCGATTTCGTCAAAAAGAACGTGTTCTTTGATCCCAAGATAGTTGGAGGCCAGGAGCCGAAACCCACTTCGAGTGCAATACGAGAGGTTTATGTGCACGTCCATCCGGCCGGGTCGAGCCTCTCAGCGTGATTGGTCGTGAATTTATGATCCGTTCATCCCCACAGCTCGACCACAAGCCCTCGACATAGTTGAGCACACTCGATAGTGTCACCTGTTACACCATTTTAGCATTTGTTAAGAGAGATTGATAGAAATTTGTATGAAATGAAAGGTCTGATGCAATAAACAAAGCTAAATCAAAATGAAGATGTTGCTAATGACAATCATGAAGTCTCTAAATATGACCTTGGCATTCAGTTTAACATGTTGCCGCAAAGCGCCAACTTCTTATCGATTTGATTCATCTTCCGCACTGTTTTGCGTCAAAAAGTTTGATAAAGAATAAAGCAGAAGGGGAGAAAAACGGCTTTTTCTAACAAGGATTAAACTAATGTACATTATCAATGATTTTAGCGTTTCATATTTCTTCCCCGCCATTTTCCTTCGTCTTTTCCATTTTCTCCAGCATCTGAAAATGCCAGTTGATGCTCTTCCAATACATTCAACATTACCATTAAACTTAAAAGTTTTCCCAAAAAGTTCTACTGGTTTTTGCTTCTGATTTTCTCATAACACTATCATTTCGAATATCATGTTCAGCACAAACAATATTTGCTGTGAATCAAGAAGATGTTTGACAATTACCTTAGCCATTCCCTAACATGATTTTCCTTCTTTCTTTTTTACCACCTATCATAGTATATAAAATTGATCCAAGAAAGTAATGTAAAGTTTGAAAATCATGCCAACTAAAACTCAGGGCTTCTTCCACTATCCCGGGATTGTAGTCATCGGATGATGACGAAGCCATAAAGAAAACAAAGAAGACAGAAAGACAAGGAGGGAAGAGATCTTATAGGAGACACGGATGAAAGTCGAAAAAGGCAATTCGGTTTAATTTCTTGCAGTTAAAATTTGAAATACTTGCAGAGAAGTTCAAATAAGGTAAAAGAAGTAAGGAAGGAAGTTCCATATATATATATATATATATATATATATATATATATATATATATATGCACAACCTCGGCCAAAGAAGCAGCACCACGTGGTGGGGGTGGAGCTGTTAAAATGGTGACGGCTAAAAGGTGCGGTTACCCGCGAGACACATCATCCTGAGAGAGACAATATAGACGTAAAACACTGTCAGAATTAATGCCTTGGGTACATATCGTCTCGATAACAAACGCATGAGCAGTTAATGCAGCCCCATGTCAACTCAGATATCCCTTAAAACTGCGACCTCAGAAGAACCGTCCAGCCACGCCCCATCTAAGCTTGGGGCATGTATGTTGATACCCGAGCCGAATGTGGGTCCTTAAAAGCGTGGTGGTGTATTTGAATACGCCCCATCTAGTCCAGTTTATGGTTTTAGTCAGTCACCAAATAAGAATTGGGTGAATTTTGTATTGTGCCTGGACGGTATTCTGCGGACCGGAAACAGTGTAAAGATGTTGTCAGCTGAAAGGGTATGGTTACCCAAGCAGTTTTGATGGAAGGTTTGATAGGGATGTATCAAATAAACCCGGTTCGAATGCCTTGTATTCGTTGGACCTCCCTTAACCTTCTTGCATGAGGACCTAAAAAAGCATGGAAGGGTTTTCGGTGTAGTCTCAGCTGACCAAGTCAATCTCCCAAACATATATTAAATCAAAAGTGTATTACTGTGTGATCAATCATAATGGCAGTCATACTTTCCTTATATAAAGGATGGTTACCTTGTTCTCCAAGACTTCTAGTGGTCTAAGGATACTAGATATAAATAGACAAACTTTGGAACGATTGGAATCAAAACTGTGAAAATGTGAAACTCATTATATGCAAATTAACACATTTCAAAGAAAAATTCAAACACATATTCACTTGTCCAAAATTAATTTTCAAATCCAATGTCTAGGCAAAAAAAAATGTCTTTATCAGTCTATTTATATCTGTGCAGCATTTTTGTTCTTATTATTCCATTGATTATTTTTTTTTTCGCAACCTATTCTGATGTCAAACACTTGACCAGGATCTTGGCCTGACTTCATAACACTATCACGGCATACAAAATAGGCCTAGGCCTTCAACTGGAGAGAAAGAAAACCTGATATTTTAAGTTTCAATAAAAGCATTAGTGCGTCGAGAGTTTGCAGTACTTATGTCGTCGTCTGATCTCTCCATTTCAACTTAAGGCATATTATCTTGCCATATGTCCTGTTTCGCAATTCTGAAAGGTCCGTCCACTGAATGAGCTGCCCATCAGTGTTCACGCACACTTGCTCCAAATCATGCTGCCAAAAGTAGGGCTCGGTCCCGAGGCTCATGTTTGCAAGCAAGATGTTGAACTGAAACTCTGAGAGCCTGTGGATCGTGGCCAACTTCGACTCACTCACGAGCCTACAACCCCATAAGTTCCTCGGTCGACAAACACGAAACAAACCATTCGTAAAGTCAGAGTACCAAGATTCCGTGCGACGTTCAAAAGTTCTAAATTCCAAGCTCTCCACCACCACAGGTGGCTCGTCATTGAGAAGACAACTACCGTCAACAGCACCGCATGGCACGTCCAGAGAGCCGCTGTTCATCTGCAGAATCCAAAAAATCCGAGACCCACTCAGTGCCTTGAGCAATCGTCTCAGCTCAAGGAACCACCAATTGACGTTGAAATTGGGACCATCCTCACACGAAGAGAGGAATACATTTGAATCCCACTTCTTGGAAGTAGTGGTCGTGAAAGAGAATGTGTCCGGCACCTGGGGAATACGGGCAGTGAAACCAAAATCGAGAATGTTGGGGGCACAAATCGTAACTCCTTTATGCGGTATTTCTGTGGTCAAGATGCACAAGTACTTGACCGAATCATTTGCAAGATGGAATTCCTTGAAACCGGAGCAATTTTTTAGGACCAAGCTCGCAAGAGTTGGGCAGTAGAAGGATAACACGTCGAACGACTCGCTCGACAGGATCACTCTATAGAGTTTCAATATCGTGAGACGAGAGAACAAGAATGCACTTTGGCGGTGAGACCAAATCCATGGGCCCGTGATCATGACTGTCTCGAGATTCGGGACATTGATTTCGATGCTACGCGTTTCATTGATACTCTTGAAATCACACAGTGCAAAGTGGTTGTGCCCAGGCAATGCCTTAAAGTTTCTCAACCCCTGACAATTATTAAGGACCAGGCGCTTGAGCAAAGGGCAACCCGAAGTTATGTTCTCGAATGTCCCACCATCAAATTGGACCTTTTCGAGGGTGAGCGTGCGCAAACATTTGAACCGCAAGCTCTCGACGGGGCTCAGCCTGCAATTTCCCAGGTTTAGTTCTTCGAGGGACTCCGCTAAGAACACTGCCGAGGGCAGGTCGTAATAAGCCAGAGAAAATGAAAGAAAGTTGAGTTTGAAAGCTTTAATGTTGAGGGCTAATATCGGGATCCATTTGTTGAGAAGGGAGACGGCCGGTCTTGAGTCGGGTCTCAATAAGTGGAGATGGAGTTTGTGTATGGAGAGGTTTTGATCACAGTATCCTTGTAAGGTTCGGTCGACGACGGAGACAAATTTCTCTTGTGAACTGTCGAACCATTCTTTGTGTCGCACTGATCTAGAGAGGAGAGAGAGAGTGGGGTGACGTGTGATGGAGACAAATTTTCCTTGTGTGTCGTAGAATCATTCTTCGGAGAAGTCGAGGTTGGGGCGGGTTGATCCTATGTGGCGCCATTGCTTGGAGAGAATACATGTTCTCACAGCTTCATTCTGTGAGAGGAAACAGAGAATGTGGTGAAGTATAGGTTTTGGCAGTTCGGATATTCTGTCGTCCACGCTTGTTTCTGCCGCCGGCTTTTCCATAGGAGACAAATATGATGTGAGAACGATTTTGTGGTCTGCTAGTGAATGAATCAACCCTAATCCCGGTTATTGTTATTAATAATAATAATTTATTATAATAATAATAATAACTATTCCTCTTTGATTTGGAAAAGGTTTAATTGTAATTAAATAAAACTAGTGCGGAGTTCATACTTTAAACCTTTTTTTGGACTTTATTTTAATTAATTGTTTATATTTTCACATCTCATTTCATTATTGAACTAAAATAAATACAAACAGTGAAAAATATATATTAAACGCTTATCTCTCTACAACATTTTTTATTTAAAGAATATTATTAAACCTTGGAGTTTTGATTTTTTTTAATCAATTAAACCAATCTATGATTGTTAATGAATAAAAAAGTAATGGAAGAATCCAAACTTTAAAATAGAGGAAATTCCATTTCTTAATTCCAAACTTCAAAAAGTAATGGAAGAATCCAAACTGTAAAAAAGTAATGGAAGAATCCAAACCACCGAAAAACACCAGAAACCAGAATACTGAGTCATAACAAAAACATTAAAAATTCCATTTCTTGATTCCTCCAGCTTCCACCATCTGAACCGCCGCCGCCCCTCGAATTAACCAGAGGATATCAAAAAAAGCAAACAAATTAACCAGAGGACTCGTAAGAAATGTTTTATGACTTGCTTATTCTTACCCTGAGTAGTGCTTGGAAGGAAACCGCCATTAAAACCATGAACACCTTTTACAAGAGCAGCTTCAGGTGCTGAAAACGGGCAAAATTATATAACTACCCACTATTTAAGAGAATTATTACAAAAAGGCAAATACAGCACACTTTTTATAAAAAGACAATGATAATTTATAATAATACGTGACTTTACAAAAACTGAAAAAAGTAAAACCGCACAGATGAATCATGTTCCATATATTCTGAAGAAGACAAAAAACCAATTTTACAAAAACTGACCGTCCAACACCTTTCCCTGCAAACAAAAAACCACAAAAANAAAGCTGAAAAAAAAAAAAAATAGAGAAAGAGGAAACGAACAATAATCAGAAACTTGACATCCTTACCAACCAGAACAGATTTAGAAGACCCCAACACAGCCTTACCTCTACCCCGAACCACGAAATCCCTAAACTCGTTATTCATTTTGAATTTCTTCGAAACTAACTCAGAGTTGTCCTTTCCTCTCATCTTCTGTTTTGGATTCAACTCCTCTTTCTCACTATCAGACACAAAATCCAGATGAAATTCCTTATCAGATACATATTCAACGACTGCAGTTTTCCCACACGGCTTAGAACTTTGAACCGCACCATCTCGAAACCTCCGTTTCTTCTTGCGTCTGTCATCACTGTCGTCGCCCAAAAAATCAATATCTTCAATTAAATCGACAAAATCACTCTTCGATTTAGATTTGCAAACCCGAAATTGCCTTGTTTTTTCAACAGAAGACCTGGTTCTAACCATAATTTGATGAAGGATAATAAGAAACCAAAATTACACATAAAAAGTTGAAAATAGAACAAAAGAAAAGATGAAGACGAAAGGAAGAACAAAAAAATGAAAAAAAATCTGAAGACGGTAAGGGAAGACGAAGAGAGACGTGAAAAACTGATTTCTCGGGAAGACTAAAAACTGACTTGGTAACTGCTAAAAGAAACTGACCGTCCAGTAACACGTAAAAAAGTAAAGATGCAAGTAAAAGACATAAAAATAATGGTATAAAAATAATTATGAATTATGTATTGTATAATTATAATAAAATAATAAAATTAGACATAAGGAGTAATTTTCTCCTGAAAACGCCAATGTGGGAAACAGGGCCGGCACTGGCCCAGGGCAGCATATGCGGTGGCCGAGGGCCCAATTACATTGAGGGGCACCATCATCAGTCCATATACTTTAAATATATGTATATAATATACATATCTAATACTATCTGTAAAGTGGAGTAGAGTGTAATCTTTGAACTCAATTTGACAAGCTCACAATTTAGGCTTTAAAAAATGATTAAAAAATGTGTCGTAAAGTGAAAAAACACAGAACAGAAACTAATCAATTCCCTCCTCAAATGTTCATCTTCTCTATTTTTTTTCATTCTCCAAATTCTAATAGCCCCAAATTCTAAGGATAAGTAAATTAATTTTTAAATATTATAATGGCCCTTTCAGCCTTTGTTTTTCTTATTCACCATTATTCCCTCTATTTTTTTTTCTACATCAATTGTTCAACCATTAGCAAAATTATCAATCACTTCCAACAATTTTAGAGATTTCTTGAATGTTTTCTTTATTTTGAGAAAATTCACCTATTCTATTAGTTTATGTTGTTATCTAATTGAAAAAAAAATTGGACCGGCAATGAATCAGTTTTCAATTTTTCCTTTGACTTGTTTTTGTGTTTTTTTCTTCTAGAGTTGGAATTGAATTTACTTAGTTTATTTGCAAATTAGAAATTAGGGCATATGAATTTATCATAGATGGAAACTGGAATTAGCACAGCTACAAACTTAAATTTTGGAGATTGGGGTTTATACATTTATTTAATTATTTCAATGTTTGGATTTGAGAAGTCTATTGCTGAATGGTTCTTATGAAAGAATGGTGCTTTACAAATTAGCTATTCTATGCATCGAAAAAGATATTAGTGAAAATTTAGATTATAAAGATATAATTGATGATTTTGCATCTAAAAATACTAGAAGAAAATATTCAATTCTTATTATTTTTTTAAAAAAAATTATTTTATTTTTAGAGTAAATAAAATACTTGGGGTATGATTTTTTGTATTTTGCGGGCCCCAAAATGTTCAGGCTCTGTCAACAATAAAAATAAATATTTATATTATTAAATTTCATACATAATATTTATGATAACTGGACTAATAAAATGATACTCGTATATTCGTTTTATATATGCCGTGATAAGATAACCCAGTCCTGACAAAAATATCCGGTCAGATTTTTGTTAGTCACCGATCACTGAACAGTAATATCCTATCCAAAGCTACAGTGCGAGAAAACTCAGAATTAATTATAAGAAAAAAAAGTGTTTTTTTTTTTTTTTT